CCAATTATTGTTATAACCCGTTAAGGTTTCATGTCAATTTGGGTCTTATAGCATTGTTGACCTAATTAAATCTAAATTAATGTTATTTGAACTTAAAAAATTGATTTAATTTATTAAATTAATAATATTTCAATTGATAAGAGTCCCAAAGAAAAAGTCTAGTATTTACAGTCACAATTATTCTATCGGACTATGTCACTCTTATATCATTAGGTCAACAAATTAGACACTATATACCGAACCACGGATAGACCCGTGTTCTATTTTTTCTCCTTTTTCTGTCTTGAATCTCTTAACATTCTAGATTTCTATTCATTAAAACATTGCTTAATTTCGTATTAGAAGCTATACGAATGTTCAAATTGTTCTATAATAACTCTTCTTGCCTGAGATTTCTACATTGTTGGATCCAACATAAAACAGTCGTCTTCATTTCAAATCAACATTCTCTTCTTGGTTGGAAGGACATAATTAAACTAGCTCAGTAGTTGGTAACCATGTATCCGTCAATACGTACTTGACACAACACAATTTTAAAATTAACACGATTATTAAATGCGCATAATAAATAGTCTATATTAATGTTCGATACTTAGAATACTCTAAATAATTTATTTTTTTTTGTGATCTTGACAGAAATATAATACGAAAAATAATGACACGATACAAAAATACCGACATACAAATCACACGATACGACATGACACAATACAAATTTACACCACTAAGTCTAAGTTGGTTAAAGAAATCTTATCTTCCCANGATACGAATTTACACCACTAAGTCTAAGTTGGTTAAAGAAATCTTATCTTCCCACTTGATAGATCTTTGGGTTCAACTTTGGTTGCTGGCTTCATGGCAGATTCCAAACTGCTTTGCCAATCCCACATGTCATCATCTAGTGCTCGAGAAATTATAAGCACTGTAGTACAAGGTCTAGTAGAGATTCTATCCTGATCATGACAATTTTTGATACAAAATTAAGAAATTAGAGTTGAATAATTCTCGATACGAATAAATATATCAATTTTAGACATAATTTGCCAACTTGTTCATGTTGTATTTAATATATATTTTAAAATATAATATATATTTATTTATTTCTAACATATATATGTGTATAGGAATATAAGTTTAAAATATATATATATATATATATATATATATATATATATATATTTTATTTAAAGTTATTTTTAGACCTATTGAATGATCTGAACAGTACACATTGTGACCATTTGTTTTATCACTTATATTGCATTAATTTATTATATTACATCAAAATTATAATTTTAAAATATATAACCTTTGGTTAATAACTGTTGAGTTTTACAATTAACTGTTAGTATTTGTTTACAAATCGTTGCAATTGGTCAAAGAAAGTTCAAGTGTTTGAATTTTTTAATGCATTTTCAAGTGTCTGTCAATATATTATATTATAACTACGAAAAATTTTACTGTTGCACCTAAATTTTAATCTATTGCAACCTGTTCACCTAGCTTTCAAAGCATTGCAACCTATTCATTGTATCCATTGGATGGATATTTAAAGCAATGATGAATGGCTGCTTTGAGATATAGATCTTCGGACAGAAAGGAAAACAAAAAAGAAAAGCTAGATAAAAGAATAACTGAGAGGCAACCTTCTGTTAAAAGGAAAAAAAAAACCTTTGATCAGTGGGTTTTTCATATAGTAGATTTTGTGATTAGTATGTCAACCTGCTGCAACTAGTGTCCTGATATACCAATAAATATACTACTACTTATATTACTTTGATTTGAGAACGATTAAGAGTTATTCGAGACACCTCTACAGTTACGAGTACACGCTTGTAGAAAAGCGATAGTTGAATCCTGGAGGATAGGATGTCATAACCTGTTGCACTGAGTTTCATACTCATAGGGGCAAAAATCTATTTTTAAGAACAGTGATTACACAATTCTATCGATAAATTTTCTTGTCTTGTTTATCATCTAATTTTTAGCATTCTTGAATTGATAATTTTACAACAGTTCAAGTGGTAAACAAGTGTAGCAGTTGACCTTTTCCAATGAAAGGGTCCGTGTAAAACTAGCTAAATACGACATGAACCCGCTGCTTATACAAGACACGAATACGAGTATGTACGAATATAAATACTTTAGGATATAGTTTAAGTGAAATTTATCATGACATGAATCCGATTCAACACAATTCATTGAGAGATTTAGATACAAACCTAAAAATGACATGATCCCTTAATATTAGTTATAATGATTTGGGTTAAGATTTATATGTATTCGATCGAAATGAACTCGAGATAACATGACCCGAAATACAACATAATTGGACTTCATTATCGCCCCTAGATTACACAATTCTGAATCATTATTAGATAGACTGATAAATAACATAATCTATCAGATGTGGGCATTACCACACTTGTTAATCGTATATGGATTTCACATATCTTAAAAGATATGCCGAAGAACATTGCAAAACTGCTGTAAAGACAAAGAGGAAACTTGATTGTTGACTTTGAAGTCACCACTCAAACAAATTACAATTGATTTGATTAAACTGATATAGACTAATGTTTGGAAAATGAACTGAAGTTTATCTTCTTTGGACTTATTGTGTAATTTATGATGAAGAGGTCAATAGCCACCAATCAATTTGGGAGACACAAGCAACAAAAACCATTCAAGCAAAGACAAAGGGACGAACATATTCGAGTTTGTACAAAACATAGAGAATGTGACTCAAAGTTCACTGAGTTTGTGTAAAATCAAACTAAATTCTACATTATATTCTCCAGTTTACTTACCATGACACGAAATTAGAAGGTTTGAGTCTTCAATAAGTCACCCGTTTTATAAATGATTGAAACCGATGCGACATAATTCGTTTATATATCAGTTATACATGATTCATATACGATACAAATTCAATATAAACATAATTCATTAGACAATAATTAATCAATGAATCAGATATAAGTTGAATATTTTTTGATACGAACTCCTTAAGATTCGATATAAACCCACCTCACCCGACACAATTCAGATGCATACTTATATATGGAGTTTTCAAAGGCCTGCAAGGTCATTTGTTTTGGGGATGCCATGAACTAATTGCTTTCTGATTTGACTTGGGGTTGTTATGTTGTGAATGGAGATTGTTTGATGATAAAATTGAAGTCATTTTTTAGATAAAAAAAACTTATTTGAGCCGAGCTTGTTGGAGTTAAGTCATACATTACTTAAATTCAATTCGTTTACAAACCAAGTTTAAAAATCTGATCAAATTCAATACATTGTGAAATTTTGATTAGCAAAAATTGAATTGAGTTCAAGCCAAACTCGAATTGCTCAAATCATTTACTAGCCCATATGCATGACAACAATCCCAATTCATATCCTGGTCATTTGAAATATTGTCTACTGAGTCGACCCGTTCGAGTTAAGGTTTTGCTTAATCAACTTTATTACCAGTATTTCCATACATCAGAAGAGATCTCGGTCAAACCGTAATCTTAGAGTGACCAAATTTACTCGAATCTTTTATTCAATCTCTGTCTGCTTTTGTCTTAACATAAAGAAAGTCAACCTGATTGAAAGATAAATTAATCAAACACTTGTAAGTTATTAGAGCCGCCCTTGTTTTAAAAAGAAAAAACTTGGGTAATTATCGGTGACACTCTCCCTAAATAGACACATCTTCAATGAAATCGCCTCTATTATTTGAAATATCACTGACACCCCATGTCAGATCAATGACGTTAATTAGAATGAGATTTTACTAAATTGTCCATGATATATTTTAGGAAAAATTTTATCTACACTCTTCTAGATAGACATATTTTCAATAAGACCCCTTTGTTTTCTAAATTTCTTTAAGTATTAAAATTCATATTTTACTTATTAAAATTCGAGTCGATTAAAAATTTATTTGTTTACATATTAAAATTTGAGTCGATTTAATCAACTTGAATTGAATTTTAACCAGCCCGAATTTTGAAACACAAAAAAATATAAATTTTAATTGATTCAAATTTTAATACATAAAAAATGAACTTTAATCAGTTAACTGGCTCGAATTTTAATACGTAAAAAAATAAAAATATTAATTGACTCGAATTAAATTTTAATACTTAAAAAAATGAATTTTAATAGGCTCGAATTTAATATGTGAAAAAAATAAAATTCAATTAACTCGAATTAAATTTTAATCGATTTAAATTTTAATATATAAAAAAATAAATTTTAATCTGCTCAAATTTTAATATGTAAAAAAATGAATTTTAATTAACTCAAATTTTAATCAATTTTTATGTAGAAAGATTATTTGGGATTTATGTAAGGGTAATTTTAGTATTTTAGAAAAAAAAAAATTTCGTTAGAAACGGTGGTGTAACGGCAGGAGTTGTCATTAATGTTTAAATATAAACTATAAGGGGTGTTAGTGATATTTTAGATAATGGAGAAGGTCTTATTAAAAATATATCTATCTAAAGAGGTGTGGATGATAATTAACCAAAAACTTTCTAATCATCTACTATACTATTATATATACACACGTCACATTTCTTCCACGCACTAAATAGACCCTGACCTTAGGATTCTATTTCAAAGCAAAGTTGCCATTGTTATACTCCAAGAAACTTCCCAAAGTCCCAGTTTGTCTCACAAAATCTCACAATCTTGAGAATTCTAAGCTTAAACAGTATATATATTTGTATCTTCATCAAAGGTTACCAAACAGAAGGATTAGCCCGTGGAGGACCGCCTTTTCCGGTGGCTCAGATCAGAGGTGAGCAAGCAGAGAGTAGGGTTGATGAGTTCTCGATAGTATGCACTATATAGAGTTTTGATCATAGTTCACTGTTTATTGATGTGCGACAATCTCTTTTAACCAGTTGCAAATATTTGTTGACAGAGTTGAAAAACTTTCCAGTTTCTGAACTGAAATTCATGAGGCACCCCTCGAGCCGTTAGAGAGCGGTCAGAGGGCAGTCAAAATGAAGAATGCCATGCTACCTTCGGTTTCATCACAGCTTTATAGCAATGGTAATGTTCGAAAAAACATTAACTTATTTAGAGAAAAATTATGCTAATGTTCTTATTATTGCGTTCTGTTCTTTTTGATGTATTTCAGGAAACAATGTGGAAGTCACTGATCTCCCATTACAGATGGATAGCAAAATGTATTTCATCATGTTCTCTTCACAATTTAACCATTTTCAATCTTTTAAGAAGAAATACATTCAACCCTAGGATCACTTCACTGGTAACAATAATCTCAAACGTCTTGAGTATAAATTTTGACAACCTCTTGAGATCAGGTCAATGTAGATGACTTGTCTTTCACTGGATTAGGAAAGGGATTAGTCGAGGTACACGTAAATT